GGAACAGCATCAACCACTCAAAGGAAGGGGAGCAAGGCAAACAGCAGATGCGATGAAACCACGGTAAATTATCCAAAAGAACACATCTCTTGTGGAATATAAACATGTCAAAGCTGTGATAGGACGAGAACGAGACTAGAGGGTAGGAAATGGATAGAGGAACCAGTACAAAACGAAGAGTGATAGCAAAACCGTCACGACAGAAAGGTGGTCAAGGGATCGACTTCACTTGTCTCTGACGGGTTATAGCTTGATTGTTGAGAATGGCAAGACTCCCTAATGATGCCGACTACGATGCCATAGAAACGTCTGGGAATGTACCAAGTTCGCGGTCCGAATCTGGAAATTAGCATGCATACTATGGACTCCGGAAAAGGTGCCTTCATCTAGGTCTTCCTGCTAATATGACCAAGTTACGAAACCATGGTTAAACAACTTTTATACAACTAAAGGTGACCACGATCATACAAAATGCCACACCATCCTAGTCTTCATACCTTTTAATCAAGGTATGAAGCAACACGTTGTCTATAAAATTAATGGAGAAAGTTCGCTGCACTGCTGTGGTGATGAGGTTTCTCTTTCTAGTAAGACTTGTCAGAAATGTAGAGTCACATATGTGAAAAGATTCTGGAAGGCCATTAGATCTACAAAGTAAACTGGAGTACACACTCTCTTATTTATTAATTTTAAAAATCTAGTCCCTGTCTTAACAGAAAAAGTAATGAATAATTAAATAATTTTGGCTTAACTGAACAAATGTGCTTAGAAGATTGGTAAAAATATAATTTAGTAAAAGGTCTAATGAAAACCAAAATGCTGTAGTCTGAAGAGAACAGCGATTCAAAATCGAATGATGACTATGCATAAATGAGTGAATTCTCATCGCTTTTAAAATAGGCATGTCCTTACCTCAAAAGGGTACTTATCCAATAAATGTGGTCGCAATTTGAGTTCATCTTGTCGGCTTCCCACTCTCCAAACACGCAATATTGAATCTTCTGAGACGGACGCCAGAATCCAGGCTTTAGGCTTGGACATAGTCACCGGGGTACGCCCTGTAGACATTGCAAATGTTTGTTCCGAAGATTCAACAGGAAGGCTGGAGTCAATTTGGGCCCAATCTAGTCCTGTAATCCTTCTTGCATGAGCATCAACTTGCAAAATGGTATGACAAAGTTTGCTGGTATCCGTAGATGAGGATGTTGATTTGGATGGATCAAACAAGTGGAGACTAATACGACCATTTCCTAAGGCAGATGCAACCAGAATTGGATTATTGCAGTTTGTAGACTCTGATTTTATCGATAAAATTGAACTACAAGAGTCCATTGGCCAGTCAGATCTAGTGGTCCAGACAACCATAGCTGTTATTGGCCAGGTCTCGGAAGGCGAGTACAATTGACCAGCTACCACACTACCCAAATTTGGATCTGGTCGGTTGCAAAGAGCAGCGAACTATAATAGGAAATTCAGAGTATGCAGCTTGCATCACTATAAAAATGAGTAAAATGATTCTATCAAGACCATAGCAATCAGAATACTTACATGATTTGGGTTTCATACCGATTTTTAAGTATTTTTAGAGTAATTGAGCACTTACTAAATTTATATTACAAGAAAGTACGTCGAAGAAAAGCGAGTAGAATATCAACTATGTTGCATGCCATTGACGTTTATCTTGATGTAATAACTTATTAATTAGTGCCAAGGTATTGGTACGAAATATAAGCAAAGCTATATGTGATAAAGATTTGTAAGCAATACTGAGAAGGCTATGATATTAATACTCATTTTGAGTTACAACCATTTATCTCATGATATTTTATAGCCTTCAACGAAATAGGTTATGCTAAATAGATTTTTAAGGGACTTGAGGACATGCTATGGAAATTATGGCTACTATCTCTCCTTGATAAAGGTCTAGTCGAGCAATCGCATAGGCAAAAGAAAAAATATTAAATGTAATTTAATTAATTAAAGTAAATAATGGTTTAATAGTTAAGACTTAAACCAAATTTTTCAGGTGAAATGTAAAGTCTATGAATTGACAGCAAAAAGACCTGCAGCTTCTGTTCTTCGATAAAAAATAGGGGCCATTTAAGCATGTCATAAAACACAATTCACCATTATAAAATCAGAATTTGGCAATAAATTTTCTTAAAATAGTAAATGCATAATACATTACAAAAGCTAAGGCATCTAAAATACATAATAATAATCATGTCATCAACGATATAAGCTAAAATCTAACAATGACACGAAATGCACAATGATTTGAATAAAAGCTATTAAAAGAAGAATTAAAATAGTGACCATGGATTTTTGTAGAGTTTTCCTGTTCATAGGGTAATGTGACCCTCTCAATCCTTGCTAAGCGTTTGCCTGATTGAGCAATAAAGCATACTTTTATAAAGTTTATCAATCAGCAAGCCAAGAAAAGCGGCTGGTTACAAGCCTGTATAATACCAATAACATATTTGTGATATCTTAAT